GGGGGGGGTAAAATATAAAAGACGGGGTCACGTCGGGTAAATAGACACCAAACATGTCAAGCCTTAAAATTGCGTTTGCCTGTGAAGCCGCAAAAAATGTCAATACCCAATATTTCCCATAGGCGACGCTTTAAAAGCTTTTACCGCTCATCAGTTCAGTGTTATCGGTGATTGGTGGCCTCAGAATCATTGCTCTCACTCCGACGCTCGCGGCGACATGTAACATTTGTAGCGCAATTGTCGTTTTCGCACGTAGGCGCATCCGACATGTGTTTGTGTGACACGTGGGGGGCGGGGGACTTTATTTTTGTTGCATTTTTTCACTTAACTTTATTGCTATAACATAGGGAGCAAACAAGCCCCCTATGTAATAGCAGGTAGGGTGTGACAGGCAGTGGCATCACAAGGGGGGTGCGGCCCGCACCCGGGTGACACCATTGGAGGGGTGACACCAAAATGACTTACAGTGATTTTGGTGTCACCCCCCTCTGAAAAGTCGGACGCTCGCTCATGGACCGAACGCCCCGCCCGTATCAGGAGAGAGGAGGGGACCCGGCGGCCTACCTAATCCTGCCGGGTGACTGTCCCCTCCTCTCTCTGCCGGCGTTCATCACCAAGATGGATCAGAAGACTGCCACGCATGCGCGATGACGTCATCGCGCACGAGCACGGTGACGTCTCGGCGGGGTCACACTCGGTTACCGCTCCGGGTGTCACCCTGCCTCGGGACGCTCCTGGTGACAGGTCCTCTTTATGGAGACATCAGGGGTCGTTCAGACCTCTAATGTCACCTAGGGACCCCAAAGAAGATGAAAAAGCCAGAGATCTCCTTTACCAGCTTCTTCTTCTGGCTCTAAGAGCCGGAGACTGTAATGAGTGACACCGGAAGTGATGTAATACACATCACTTCCTGGTCCAGTGATCGGAGGAGAGCTCAGAGGCTGGAAGCCACGGACTCTCACTCCAATCATTGCGGGGAGACACGCCGAGGCGCTCCCGGTACAAACAATCTGGCACCAAGAACATGGCGGCTGGACCACTTCTGCGGGCCGCCGTCTATAGACGTATTGCGGGCCGGAAGTGGTTAATTTTGATTATTTTAAATATTATTATTTTAACATTTTTTTTTACATTATTATGATTGTTTGTGGCTAACAAGATTTTCTTTCGGTGATCATGTTCTGCCAAAATGATTTTACTTTTTTTAGAAAAAATTATTACATTTTGTATTTATTATTTTGACATTTATTTTTTAGGATAAACCAAGATTTTTTTCCCCAGTGATATTTTTTTGCAAAAATGATTTTATTTTAATGC